AGTGCTTAATTTTTTACTATTCGATATTTATCTGCCCCTACAAATCAAATTCGATTTGTAGGGGCGGCTGGATATTGAGACGTCCCTACAAATCGAGCCATTTGTAGGGGTGGTATAGAGCCGCTCTAAAAAAAGGAGATGTTGCTACAAATTCTTTTTTAGTAGTGCATGATGTCGTGGGCCTTAGGTGTCTTGAGCTGCCCCTAAAAAAAGAGACGTTGCTATAAATCTTTTTTTAGTAGTGCATGGTGTCGTGGGCCTGGGTGCCTACCTGCTCGATTTGCTGACGATCTGTGTAACGCCCTGTTCGCCTGAGCTTATTCAAAACTATTTTTCAGCCATGGAACAATGTTTTTCTGTCATAACATTTTAGCATAAACATCAGTATAAGCTAAATTTCAGCATCAACGAACAGGGTGTAAGACGACAAAAGATTTATCTCTCATTACCTCGAGAAAGGAACATACTCCTATATCAAAAGTGAACCCCTCCGACGAGTAAGATTTAGGCATTGTTTAGTTTCAAAAAAAATTTATCTCATACAGTAAAAGAGCATGTTTGGACACATGCAAGAAGTACTAAATGTAGACGAAAAAAAAACTAATTGCACAGTTCTCAGCAAAATCGCGAGACGAATCTTTTAAGCCTAATTAGTCCATGAAAAGCCTTAAGTGCTACAGTAACCCATATGTGCTAATGCCTGATTAATTAGTATCATTAGATTCGTCTCGTAGTTTCCTGTTGGGTTCTGTAATTTGTTTTTTATTAGTATCTAAAAACCTCTCCGGGCATCCTTCCGACACATCCGATATGACACAAAAATTTTCACCTCCCCAACTAAACACACCCTTATCTATATGACCTGGTTTTGGTGATAGGATAATGGTAGAAGCAGAAAAGGATCGGAGGCCCGTGGACCAGTGTAGCTACATAGTCCTTCCCACTATATTTCCCTCTTTTGAAAGGGGTAGAGATTCGATTCGACGTTGAAGCTTGAACACGATAAGACATTCAGAAAAAAAAAAAGGGTTCAACACGATATACTGAACGAGTGAACGGACTGAGCCTCATCCAGGTATAGCAGAAAGCAAGCTAAGTACGTCGTACTGGAAGTTGGAAAAAGTGAAATAAACCACAGGGAGAAGTCTTGCAGCACTACCGCCGTATTCTCACTAGGAGGTGGTACGTGCCTTGCCATGCGAACTTGCGAAGTATACTAAGTACTACAACTACTGAACGTTGCAATATAATCTTTTTAGGATTATTAACGATGATGTTGCCATGTTCGTGTGCCTACCGCAAATCAAATTTCAGCCTGAACGTTTACAGGTTTCCAAAACGCAAACATTTGAGCTACCCACGGCCCACAACATATATAGTCGATGTGCCGATGCCGCACATCTCTCTCTCCGATACTGGGAGAGTGCCTTATTCACACAACTTTCAGTACTACTAATGATGTTCGTCGCCAAAAGGGTGCCTGGGCATCATTGTTCGCTGTGTCCAAATTGCTCTATTTCTATCGGAAAAAGATGTGCCTCGCCAACCAAATGCTCCACGAGCAGCAGCGCTCACATATACTACAAGGAAACGGCCGGCGGGCACCGGGCCGGGCGGCGGGGCCACGTCCGCCGAACGTCCTGCATGCCGTCTAAATCTAAACGAGACACTGCACAGCCGCGGCGCGGGCCGGCGTGCCAGAACGAACCAGCCGCATGCATTTCCGCTGCTTTACTGCAGGTCTGCAGCTGCAGCACCTACTCGATCGACCTCGGTTTCCCGCGTGGGTTTCTTTCGGCGGGGAGGCGACCGAGAGAGGCCGGCGCGCGTACGGAGTCCGCCATCGACGTGGGTTCGCGTCGTCGCGGTCGGTGGCTGGGCATGGCATGCGATGCGTAGGAGGGTGTTCGGCTGGGTGGCCAACTCACGAAAGCACTGTTCATATGAACAGTGTTTTCGATAGAATAATATTTTCTCCCACGCTTAATCGGTCGGAATAGTATTTTAACTTATTTTTCAGTCCGAACAGCACTCAGATTGGAGCGGATGGTGGGCCGCAGATTCTATTCTTTCACTGCCGCCAGGTGCTGACCGTACTGCTCCTGGTCTCAAGGACAGAGGAGCATGGGCTTTGTTGGTCGTCGTCGCTGCAATCTTAGCTAACCATTCCAACCGGCCAAAGGATCTCTCCTCACCCAAGGGAAAGAATATATATGTCACACAGGTGCATAGGATTTCAAATATATAAATGACGACAACTTCAACAACGGAGCTTGTTGTGGTGGCACGAGTACGACTGACGACTGACCAACTGAGTTACTGAACGAACGTTGCGAGTAAATTTGTCATTGGAAAGGGGAGATAAAAACATACGTATGATATATACTATATTCTACGTTGAACGGTCTGAAACGAATTGAAGGGAACTTGTTATCAGGCCAGTCTCGAGACGTGAAACTGTGCATGAAACATGCTCTCTCAATGCACAGTTTCATTTCACGGTTTCATAAACTAACTTTAGCATTTAATTCTTGCACTGTGTTGTGATCAAATGTGCCATATAAACTATGTAGCCATTTGATATTGTTTAACATATTGGAATATGATCAAATCGGTAAATAAACATGGTTTATCGTACTTACATGTACAGCCAAGTAAAATAGGATACGGAGTAAACTGAAATGAACAAGAGAGAAAAGATGACTGAAAGTATCTATTTTTTATCATTGAAACTGACTAACTGAGGTTCTCAAAATTAAGAATGCAGCGCAGAAATGCATATGCAGAATCCAGAAACTGTTGGCCAAATTACCTGAAAAATAATCTGAGGGATCTGAATGACAAGATCTACACATTCAATAGTTTGAAGCACACCAGTACTAGAAATTTACACTTACAAATTGCAATCCATCTCTACAGTGCTGGGAGGCTCGACTGCTTGCTACTGAGGGGCAGGAGGCGACGAAGCAACGACGGATGCGCAAGCGCTGGGGTGGCACGACTTGCTGTTGAGGGACGAGGCGACAAAGCACCGACGGAGGCGCAAGCCATGGCCCCAAGCTGCCAGCGGCCGCGGCGCCCGGCCTTTGCTTCCTCAACGACGCGGAGGCATCGGCGGCTCTGGCCCGAAGCCGCGGCGGAGGTCGCTCCCGCGGCCGGCGGAGGTCGCGCTCGCGGCCAGCGGAGCCGCGGCTAGCGGAGCCCGCGCCTTCCCCTCCGGCAGCGGCCTCTCGCGCCGCCTTCCCGTCCCACGCCGCATTCCACTCCGGCAGACGCGGCCTCATCCACGCCCGGCAGTGGCGGCCTCACCCGCGCTGGATGAAGAAGTCGCGCACGGATGAAACGAAGGAAGGCTCTCAGCGGGGCTTTCACGCGGTTTCCAACGTCTCGGAAAGAACGCTAACTCGTTTCGTCCCGTGAAACGTTTCCATTCTCTCTCATCGTATATGCAAAAGCTCTATTTCTACTGATGTGCCATGAAACCCTCATAAAATCTACGTTGAGACAGTCTCATTCATATGACACAAAAAGTGTTCAAAAGATTATTAAGAAAAGAAGAAAGCGCGGCAAAATCTAGGAGCATTACCGACCAACCATGGTGCATGCTATAGCTAGCTTTGCTATCCGGCAAAGGGTTGGAATAAATGGGAGACTTGAGTAACCAACACTTCATGACAATCTTGCATATCGTGATTTTCTTTTTTTTTTCTTTGTCTTGTGTTTTTTTTTTTCATATCGTGAGAAATTTATTTGTTAGCACCATAGATACTACCTCCGTCACTGAATATGTACATTAATTTCTAGAGTTGTCTTAAATCAAACTTTTTCATATATATATTTAACCAAATTTATAGAAAAAGAGCATCAATATTGATGACTCCAAATGAACACATTATGCAAAAATTATTTTAAGGTGTATCTACTGATACCAAGGGTCTGTTTGGATTATCCGATCTAAAGCTTAGTAGGCTACAGTTGAGGACTAAAACGTTAGACCATTTTAGCTCACTTATATGATCTAGAGTTTTTCTGAGAGGAGCTAAGCTTGAGACTACACTTTACACCCTCCTGTTCCAAGCCTCAAGAACTAAAATGATCTAAAGTTTAATGGCTAAGCTTTAAACCATGGGATCCAAACAAAACCTAAACTAGAGCTATAATTCTTCACATTCTTTCCTATAAATTTGGTTAAACACAAAATAATTTAACTTCAGATAATTCTAGGAATTGATTTGATTATTCAGGGACGGAGGTAGTGTATATGATGCCATCATGCCGTGTTAGTATTCTTAGCATGAGTTGCGTGACTTCCATCCTCAACACAACCATTTTTTTTCCAGCAGAGATGCAATGCAACGGCGTATTTTCCACCCCAGAGCACACAGACACAGCTAGCATTCTCTCAACTTTCAAACATCTGGTACGGTCGTCCTTAATCCAAACCACAGTCCGACTTTAGTGTACTATAAATCTATAATATAATCATCATCATATGAACTAGTTCCTCTTTGCAAACAAAATAACGTACGTACTTAGTACTTACCCACGCAATGACGCAAACAAACAAATACATCCACACGGGTCAAGGCTCGAGACTCGACGTGTAGATGCAACCCAAAATGAAACGAATTGGAAGGAGAAAAGCGAGCTAGATTTGGTTCACGGTCCAAAAGTAGCGAGTGGTTGCAGCCTAACGAGATCTAACCTACTCGCTTTCCATTTGTCAACTCCCCAAAATCTCCAAACGCGAGAGGGCGAACGCGCACATTCAAAGTCCTTGCCGGACACGTCTCATGCACTCGCCATGCCCACCATTTAAGCATCCTCCCTCCCTCCCTCCTCCAAGTGAACTTACTACACCCTCATCTCACAAAGCTCAGAAACGCCATTTGCACCTCCTTCTCAACAACTCCTCTCACAAAAGCTCTAAAACGCCATTTAGTGCAAAGGTCGCCGTCGCCGCCGCCGCCGCCGTCGTCGGAGTCGGAGTAGCTAGGGCGATGGCCTTACTCCGGTCGTCTCGGTTGCTGGCTGTTTGTGTGGCGGTTGCGGTGGTGTTCCTGCTCCTCTGCGGCTACGCTCTAAGCACGGCGGAGGGCGCCAGGCCTTTGCATGGCGGCCACGGTGGCAGCGGCGCCGGGTTCTCCACGGCGAACTTGCCGGTGTTCGTCGTCGCGAGGGCCGGGCCCAGCCGCCGTGGAGCTGGTCATTAGTATTTTTTTTGGTAGAGGCCGGCCTCTCTGGATCTCATTCAAAGTCTTCTCTAAGTGTAATCATTAATCAAGGATTTTCTCTTTTAATTTACTCTTCTAGCTAGCTTTTTTGCTGTTTCATTTGTTCTTTCCTAAATCCTAAGGGATGCTCATAGCTTTTGATATCTGATACGGTGAACAACTTTTGTTCCCTTTGATATTTATAAGGGTTTTATTTATGATTGTTGCATGTAAAACAGGATAATGACTTTGGTTGTAAGAAGAATGAGTCAAGATATTCAACACTAAGGCCCACTCTCCAGAACATGCAAAACTTTCCAAATTCCACAGGAACTGATTTTTTGTTGTGTGAAATCCTTTTGTCAAGCACTTAGGTTTAATGATCGTACTTGCATGAGCCCACATGCCTGTCCATGCACAACAAATTTAAAATGTGTACCGCGTGAAGCATCAGTCGTTGTTTCTCATGAGACAAAACAGTTCTGTTCATCGCACCGCATAATAATTAAGATCGTTGATTTTCTTAAAAGGAAGAATAACTCAGATCATACACATATATACATGAAACTTCGTGTGATCACCTAAGTTAGTCCTCGATAAGTTTGTAAGGAATCATGTCATCTGCTTCTCAGCTGGCCGCACCGAAGGGAGGAGCGTGTATGGACAGAACAACAACAACATCCATTTCAGAATTTGAAGGTGAACCACTTTCCCAGCTTTGGATGAGCATTTTTCTTCTCACTAGATAGTGGCACAGTGTCTTCAGCATGTGTCCTCCTGTTACTCCTCAGTTTAGAGGAAGAGAACCATCTGTGGAACAGACTTCCTTTCTTGGGAGTTTCTTCTTCCACGCGCTCCTCATGGACCTCATTGTACTCGAAAACACAAGGATCTTCTAAGACACTCGTAGAGCACCTGCTATTAGCAAACTTCTCACCCTCATCTTTGCTGAGATCATCCAACAAACTCACTAGCCTGTAACCATCCAACGAAGTCCTTGACCTACAATGGGATACATTTGTGATGTTAGCAGATGTCAGCATATAGAATTTCGCACTTCTTGGAAATAGAAGAGGTGTCGATGAAGCAGACAAAAGGCCTCAATAGTGGCTTTATAATATTGTATACCTTCTGTGAGTGTGAGATGGTTCCTTCTGGTATTTGGGAAGACTCCTGCATGGGCTGTAGTCAACAGAGAGATGCTGAGCAAAATGAAGCTGCATGAAGGGAGAAAATATAAGAAAAGGCATGGCACAGAAAGCAAGGATAGGCTACATCACAATGTGAAGTTTAAATGAGATTTCAATCTTGTGTAGCAAATGTCAGATATAAAAGTACATAAATAAATGATAAAAACTACTAGAAAAGTGTGATATATTTGATCATCCAAACAGACTGGCTTGATAGTAATGGTTGGATTTTTTTTTCTATTTGCATATTATGGTACTGCAAAACACACATATTTCAGATCATCATGACATCCTTAATTTCCTTCCAAATCAAGAAATGTAATACGGTAGATGATAAAAAATTACTACAGAATAGTTGATGACTGTATCACGGTTACTGTCTAGTACAATAGGATCATATAGCTCTCAACTGGTGTCAATAGAGTCCGCCTGAATCGAAGGAAGTAAGGACTGAGCATGTATTACTGTTGTGCATGTGCATCAATAGAGTCCGCCTGAATCGAAGGAAGTAAGGACTGAGCATGTATTACTGTTGTGCATGTGCAGATGCAGGGGAAGAGGGGGATTGTGCTTCACAAATAAACTTACCAAATATCTTGTCTATGATCAACTATAAAGGTTCTGTTTGGTAAATAAAGCAGGATAAGTAATATTCTGGCTTATCTCACAAGACAGCAGAATTAGCCGGCACTAAAAGGAAAAATGCATCCAAGAACTTCTGTTTGGTAAACGAAGCAGTACAAGTAATATTTTGGCTTATCTCACAAGACAGAGCAGAATTAGTCGGCACTAAAAGGAAAAATGCATCCAAGAACCTATGGCTGTTTAGGAAAGTGCATGTACCACATCACCATCTCTTATACCAAACCCACGCAATGTTGCCTTGTCATCCGTCAGTCTCTCGTCCTTGAAGCATAAGCAGAAGTGACTCCACACGTGGTTCCTACAACAAGCAAGCAACAACCTTGAAGTATAAGTTGCCAACATCATTCAGATTTCAGAGTCGCATTTAACCCAACATCCTCAAGAAATTTGAAATCGACAGCCACAAAGCACAATTTTGTGGTAACAAAAGGCAAACCCAATAGTTCATGGTTTTCATACTGACCGTCACAATGCATGCAATGAAAGATAAACAAAATCAGAAATTCCATCACATAACGGAAGAGCATGTGTATGTGGCGTATGTGGGCGCGTACCAAGAGATGGTCTTCTGGGCGTCGTCATAGAGGTCGGAGAACAAGTTCTCGATGGCCACCTTCAGCTCCCACACCGTGGCCGAACGCGCGATCTCAATGTCTGTTTGGGCGCGGGCAAAACGTGGAGAAATCCACAATTATCTTATCAGAAATCCACAATCCCTTTTAGGTAGGGAAAATAAATAACGAAAGGATCAATCCGGAGGGTACCGAAGAAGGAGTCGTCGAGCTTCTGAACGGTGAGGCGGAGGCGCGGCTCGGGGAGGCGGCGGTATGAGAAGCTGCTGCGTCTGCCGCAGGCGAGCGCGCCGATGCAGTCCGCGCCGCCGCCGAGGGCGAGGTCCTCGAGGTCGAGCGCGAGCGCGGCGGCAATGTCGCCGGCGGCGTCGGGGGACGCCGGGAGGGAGCTGGCCGGCATCGCACACGCATGTAGCGAACCCGAGAAATCTAAAAATCCGCGCTACCCCGGCCGCACGGAATCGGCCAATCCCTCGACAGAATGAGCGGGAGAGATCAATCAGCCCCGCGAATTGCCCCGTGAGACCGGCCGATCGATCGAGGGAGAGGTGAAGGAGAAGGCTCTTCGAGGCGACAGCGAACCAGGAACGGCGTGGTGGTGACGGCTCGCTTGGATTCTTCCCCGGCGCGGCGGTTGTCGTTTTGCCGAGGAGGGAGGAGGGGGGCTGCCTCGGGGGCAGCGAACGGTAGCGTCGTTCCGTTGGAGACGAGGTGTGAGAGAGCCTAATTTTTTACTATTGAACCTTTTTTTTTAAATAAAATTTATATTTGTCCTCTGAGAAATTTAAACTCATCATTAAACCTTAAAATCAGCATTATGAGCCCTGACATTATGATAATAATATCTCGATGTCACAGATCTTAACGTATCTCGACGCCACACCTAGCCGTTTACAGAACAAAAGCTTGCGTGGTCAGTATCTCAGCGTTGTAATACATGGTGCCGAGATCGGTGCCGCGGACTGGGCGCCGACCTCGGGTGGCCCTAGGGCGCGGGCAGTGCTACAGCGTTCACTACAGTGTTTCGCTGCCTTTTCCCTGCACAGTTTTCGCTACAGTGCTTCTCCCGGAATCGGGAATGCAGCCTTGCTCGCCCACGCCCCTGAGCAGTAGCAGGCATAGTGACGACGACCATGCTGATCCGTGAAGCCTGCCTGCCTATCCACCGTCTTTACGACGATCGACTACACGCGCGTTGCTCGGCATCGAGATCTGTGGCGATAAGATCTTATGGCGTCGACCCCAGAATATAAAGATGAGTTTAAGTCTATAGAGCTAAATGTAAATTTTTTAAAAAAAAAGTTAAATAGTAAAAAATTAGGGTGAGGGAGCCCCTGCGTGCCGTTTCGCTCGGCGGCCGCCGTGAGCTGTTGGCCCGCACATCGCGACGGTTCGGTTCGGGTGGGTTTTGGGCTGGGCCACCACGCTAGGAGTTGCCTCCGCCCGTTGGTTTCGCGATTTTTCGCTGGCTGAAAACTGAGAGGAAACGAGGATGTGGATTGTTGCTTTTGGGCCTGGAGCCGTTTTTTTTTTCCCTGAATACCTTGAGCCTCCCGCGCGATTCTTTTCGTCCGACTAGCGCTGGGGAAGCAAACTTCCACCCATCCCTTCCGATTTAGAGTTTAGACCTTGTTTGAATAATTTTATTAGACTACACTCATCTATCCACTTGATGTCCATATACTCACACCAACCCATGTTGTTGGGGGTACACCAACCCACGGATTGAAGTGGATTCATTGCTCATTGGCATCCAAGCAATGGTTTCTTTAATGCTCATGTATCCACTCAATCTATAGGGTGGATTGGTATGGAATTTTAGTTCACATTCCATACCGATCCATCCAGCACACTTGGATTGAGTGGATACACGAACATCCAAACAAAGTCATAATCCTCATATCCACTTCAATCCAAGTGTATATTAGAGAAATTATAATAAGTACAACCAAACAAGTCCTCATATATTATTTTTATAAACTAGCAAATATCCCGTGCACAACTTGTTGCGCAGGATCCTATACCGATGATAATAAGCTAACTATTTTTGTTGGATTTAATTGACTTGGTTTAACCGTATTTTCAACTAAATAAATTAAATAAAATTTCAAGACACATAATAAATGCTATGTGCAATAAATGATCGATTTGGTACATAAATTAACTAGAGATCGGCTTAGATTAAATGGGCTCGCTATTGTGCGACATGTTGTGAGGTTAAAAATATGGAAAACGAGCCACACGCTAGCACGTGTTCTGAGTCATAAACTTAATTAGCCTTAGATGGCAGACCACGAGATGAACGATGCGATGCCAACGAAGGTTTTGCATCTCCAAACTGTAACTCGCCACTTGTTGACAAATGATACAATTAGGCTTTAGACTCATTCCATCGCCCTACATTTACCACATAGGCCCCCAAATTGTATCCGATGCTATGATGGAGGTTGATACACTCAGGTCACGGACTCCTTTCATGAGTCTAGGTTTGCCAGCCGTGAAAACGAGAATATAAGGGACGACGAATTTGTGACAAAAGAAGAAATGTGGGAGTGAGACAAAAAGTGACTGATTAAGAGAGGTGAGAGTCAAG